TACAGCAAGCGGAATCGGGGACGGGGCTGCTGCTGTGGGTGGGACTGTTGTTGGGACGAGCTACGTATGGCTAGGGGGCGAAGATTCTTGGTGAACCGGACCAAAAGCCATTCAATTAGGCAGGGCAAGGAAGGTTTGCGCCACGTTTGAGTTATGGCTAGGTTAGGAGAATAGGCTTGGTGAGCTCTGCTGGCCTTGCGATGGTCCCCCTGCCACCCATAGCTCCGGTTTGGGAATACCGAAGCAAGCACCAGATTCTGAGTCTTCGCGGGCAGGGTGTGGGTGAGTGAGTCCCCGAAAATGCATATAGCCATCCAATCACACCACAATTCAGAAGTGTGTGCTTCATAGCAGCTGCCACGGTTTGTGGCCACGTTGGCAATGACCTTTCAACGGCCAGGAGATGCTAATGTACTATTATCCAATCGAATTGAAGGAAACTATACCACTGCCGATTTTTCGTCGTGGCAAGAACGACGACGTGGCGTTTTAAAGCCGTGGTGCAACTATCTTAGGAACAGTGACAAGCCGGCTTTTGTCTTGTTCCGTACTGGTAGTCAATTGGCTAGCGAGTGTGTAAGTTGTGTTGCGATGAAAACATCCAAGGCGAATGTCGCGAACCTCGAAAGGAAAAGTGGGGGGGAAGGGGTGGGGGGAAGGGAAGGGGGGAACACACACGAAACGGGAAATGGGACCACATCAACACCCCCATACTCCCTTTCGCTGATTGTTCTGCCAATAACACCTCCACATTGCAAAACGATAAACCTTATGTTTCACAATGAGGAGAAACGAGGAATGGAATGAGTAAGTGAAAGTTGGGTACAAGAAGCAAACCCTAGAAAACTGTACCCCATATGTGCTACCCCACTATAGCCTACAGTAGCTATGTCATATAAATCTGACACACCCCCATAGGCAAAGTGGGGGAGAACAAGGGGTCACAAGACCAGTCAAGCAAAGCAAAGCAGAAACAAGCTCAGGGTGGATCACAAAGTCACCACACATTCCGAGCACAAGTTCAAGGCCACAAGGCCAGTTCACACGCAGGAGTACACATATATATAAAAAAGGCTAGACAAACAAGAGCAGGAATATATATATGTAACAGTACAAGCAAGGTCAAGAGGTGAGCAAGTGAGGCAAGGTAGGCACAAGGCCCAGCTGAGTACAGAAGCGCTGATGGTCACAAGGCGCAAGTGCCTTGGTGAAGATATCAGCAGTGTTGGCCTCAGAGGCCACGTACGCAAGACGCAGCTGACCACGCTGCTGCAGCTCACGAGCAAGAAAGTAGCGGAGAGCAATGTGCTTCGTTCTGTGCTCCAGTCGCTGCTCCCGACACAAGGCCAGCATGGCCTTGTTGTCTACGTACAGCACTGGAGGAGAACGAGGCAACTCTCCGAGGTCAGTCAGCAGGTAGGTGAGCCAGCGAAGCTCCTGTGCAGCCATGGCTCCTGCGTAGTTCTCAGCCTCACAACTGGAGCCGAGAACAGAAGACGAGCGAGTAGCCCGCCACGAAACAGAGCCGGAACCAAGGCTGAAGGTGTAACCCTGTGACGACCGCTGCGTAGCCTGGTCGTCAGCCCAAGAAGCGTCTGCGTGCCCAGTAAGGACCACTGGACTCTGCCCTCCAAGCACAAGCCCCATGCCCGACGTACTGCACAAGTAGCGCAACACCCTCTTCGCTGCAGCCATGTGCTCCGGTCTGTGTCTCCCAGGAGCAACATAGCGTGCAAGAATGCTAAGAGGGTATGCAAGGTCAGGTCGTGTGCAGGTCATCAGGTACATGAGGCAGCCAACAAGCTCTGGGTACGGGCCACTCGACTCTACGGACTCATCCGAAGGCAGAGCTGAGAGCGAGTGGCGAGTAGGCAGAGGAGTGGCCTGAGGCGAGGAGTACGTGAAGCCGAAGCGCTGAAGGACCTGCTGCACCATGTGTGACTGAGTCAGGGTAATGGTGCGGCGTGCTCTGTCCCGAGTGATCTGCAAGCCAAGGTAGCTGCGCAGTTCACCCAGGTCAGTGCACGTGTGTCTCTTCTGCAGCTCGGACTTCACGTGGGCTAGTCCAGCAGTGTCAGCTGTGGCAAAGACCAAGTCGTCGACGTACACGAGGATGTAGAACGGCGGCAAAGAAGTGTCGGTGCGCAGAAACAGCGACGGGTCGGCAGTAGAGGGAGCAAACCCAAGAGCCGCAAGTGTAGTCCTCAGTGTGTCGTGCCACTCACGCGGTGCCTGGCGGAGACCGTAGACTGGCCGCCGTAGGCTCCACTGGGTGCCAGGAGGAAAAGACCCAGTGAAACCAGGTGGGCGACGCAGCCAGATCTCCTCGTGCAGGCTGCCCTGCAAGAAAGCAGTGCTGAAGTCAAGAGAGTGTAGCTCGTAGTCACGGTGAGCAGCTACGTGCAGCAGTACCCGAAGAGTGGTCATCTTCGGGGTGGGAGAGAAGGTCTGAAAGTAGTCAACTCCCTGCCGCTGACTGAAGCCACGAGCCACGTAACGCGCCTTGAAGACAGGCGGAGAACCCGGCGGTCGCTTCACCCTGAAAATCCACATGCCACTGACGATGTTCGCCCCAGGAGGGGGAACAGCGTCAACGTAGGTGCCTGTGGACTTCCAGGAAGCCATCTCTGCGTCCATAGCTGCCTGCCACTGAGAGGAGTAGGGACCCTCTATCGCCTCCGCGTAAGAGCGCGGAGTCGGGATGTCAAGTGCATCCGGGTCTCCCTCAGGGGTAAGCAGCGGCCAAGCACTGGAACTCCTCCTGCCTGTCCTCAAGGACGTCCGTGCCAAGGGCACACTCACCCCCGACGGACGGAGGACAGACAGACTCAGACTCAGCAACAAGACTGGCGACGTAGTCTAGGCGACAGCGAGCAGCAAAGTCGACGAGCTCAGCAACTAGAGCAGACGCAGCAGTGGACTCAAAGGAAGGGTCAGTGACAACCGTAGCAAGGAGACGCGTGACAGTAGGACTGGCAGCGCGAAGAGAGTCCGACTCCGGGTCGGCAAGAGTAGAAAGAGAAGACTCAGGAGGAGAAGGCAAAGGGGCACGCAGAGGAGCAGTGGACGGACGCAGACATCCGGTGCGTGCCAGGGACAGGAGGAGGACGCTGACGCGAACCGCGACCACTAGTGCGAGCAGCACGGACAGGCGACGCAGGGCGAGACGCAGGCTCACGACGCTCAGCAATACCTCCAGTAGGACCAGTGTAGGGAGACGGAGCAGGCAGTGGGGAGGCCGGCCGTAACTGTAACTGCGACGGGACAGGCTGTGGACACTCTAAGGGAGGAGGAGGACCAGTAGAAGGCGGGAGACCAAGAACCTGCTGAAGGAGCGGAACGAAGTACGGCCGAGGCCGCGCGGCGACTCCAGACACAGGAGGGACAGCACCAGCACCCGCAGGGGCAGCACCAGCACCAGTAGCAGCTCCAGCTCCAGAACCCCCAGCAGCACCAGTAGTACCCCCAGCAGGACCGCCTCCAGGACCGACAGCAGTAGCCTCCGCGCCAACACCCGCAGCAACTCCAGCTCCAGAAGTACCCGCAGGTCCAGCAGCTCCAGTACTCCCAGTACGAGCACCTCCGGGACCCGTGGCACCAGCTCCCTCAGAAGCAACAGAACCTCCAGTACCCGCAGCACCTCCAGCTCCAGCAGCTCCAGCAGCTCGCCTCCAGCGCCGGGCAAACCACTCACGCAGCTCCTGGGGAGAGAGTGGCTCTCGGCGAGAGGGAGCACCCGGTGAACCGCCAGGCACAGCACCACCAGGCGTAGCACCCCCGGGCTCAGCACCTCCAGGCGTAGTACCCCCAGGCTCAGCACCCCCAGACGCAGCACCCCCAGGCTCAGCACCTCCAGGCGTAGTACCCCCAGGCTCAGCACCCCCAGTCGTAGTACCCCCAGACTCAGCACCCCCAGGCTCAGCACCCCCAGGCTCAGCACCCCCAGGCGTAGCACCCACACGCTCAGCACCCCCAGAGTCAGCACCCCCAGGCTCAGCACCCTCAGCAGCACCAGAGTCACCAGCGACCTCGACAGGCTCAACAGCGTCTACCTGGGACACACCTGAAGGGGCAGGACCCTGAGGGGGGAGGGGGTCTACCGGGGGGGGACCTGGTACAAGGAAGAGCGGTGGCGGGGGGAGGGACGGAGTGCGGTAGGGGAAGAGGCGGTAGTAGGGGACCGACTCGTCGAACGTGACGTCCTGGGAGGACAGAACACGGCGAGAGGTGGGGTGGTAGAACTGCCACCCTGGGGCGTCAGGGGGGAAACCCAGGAAGACGCAAGGAGGAGCACGAGGGGACAGCTTGTCCGCAGACAAATCGCGGACAAACGCCCGAGATCCCCAGACACGGAACGCAGACGCATCGCCAACCTTCCCCGTCCACAGCAAAGCTGGGGAGGTCTCCGGCATGGAGACCCTGGGCTGAAGGTTGATCTGATGCGCCACGTACCGAACCGCAAACGGCCACAGAAAATGTGGTGGGCCCTAGGAATCGTTCCCACTAGGGAACCTGCTCGATACCATGAGGAGAAACGAGGAATGGAATGAGTAAGTGAAAGTTGGGTACAAGAAGCAAACCCTAGAAAACTGTACCCCATATGTGCTACCCCACTATAGCCTACAGTAGCTATGTCATATAAATCTGACACACAAAAGCTTTGCAAAATACATATTTCACTTACAAGGATTATTTTGGTTTATTTATCCATCCATTTGCAAGAGTATTATTTCTAATGGGGAGAAAGAACATCAACTGTACAGACGTGCAAGACTTGGAATGTCATATTGAAATCCTTATCATGCAAAGGATCGCAAGCAAACAACATGGCATAATCCAAGGAGAGCCGATTTTTACACTCCGATCCACTATTGGTGAAGCTGTCCATTTACAGGGAGGAGGGGGGAGGGGAAAAGGGGAAGGAAACGTTGCGCATTATTGAAGAATGTTAGGTAGGGAAATTGAAGAGAGCATGGAAACTGAGATATGATAGACAGCCTTCAGTGGCCAAGCAAAGCTGGTACTGTCGGGTGGGCTGGACGAGAGAACGTCGTGGAAAGGGAAGGGACGGTAGTGGGGAAAGGCGAGGGGCAGGGGAGGGGGGAAAGGGATGGCTGAGAGAAGCGTGAATGGTGGGAGAGGACAGTAGGAAAGGGAAGGGATGTGAGAGAGGGGGAGGAAAGGTGGGAGGGAAGGACAGGGGGAAAGGGAGAGAAGGACAGGGGGAAATGGAGAGGAGGACTGGGGGAAAGGGAGAGGAGGACAGGGGGAAAGGGAGAGGAGGACAGGGGGAAAGGGAGAGGAGGACAGGGGGAAAGGGAGAGGAGGACAGGGGGAAAGGGAGAGGAGGACAGGGGGAAAGGGAGAGGAGGACAGGGGGAAAGGGAGAGGAGGACAGGGGGAAAGGGAGAGGAGGACAGGGGGAAAGGGAGAGGAGGACAGGGGGAAAGGGAGAGGAGGACAGGGGGAAAGGGAGAGAAGGACAGGGGGAAAGGGAGAGGAGGACAGGGGGAAAGGGAGAGGAGGACAGGGGGAAAGGGAGAGGAGGACAGGGGGAAAGGGAGAGGAGGACAGGGGGAAAGGGAGAGGAGGACAGGGGGAAAGGGAGAGGAGGACAGGGGGAAAGGGAGAGAAGGACAGGGGGAAAGGGAGAGGAGGACAGGGGGAAAGGGAGAGGAGGACAGGGGGAAAGGGAGAGGAGGACAGGGGGAAATGGAGAGGAGGACAGGGGGAAAGGGAGAGGAGGACAGGGGGAAAGGGAGAGGAGGACAGGGGGAAAGGGAGAGGAGGACAGGGGGAAATGGAGAGGAGGACAGGGGGAAAGGGAGAGGAGGACAGGGGGAAAGGGAGAGGAGGACAGGGGGAAAGGGAGAGGACAGGGGGAAAGGGAGAGAAGGACAGGGGGAAAGGGAGAGGAGGACTGGGGGAAAGGGAGAGGAGGACAGGGGGAAAGGGAGAGGAGGACAGGGGGAAATGGAGAGGAGGACAGGGGGAAAGGGAGAGGAGGACAGGGGGAAAGGGAGAGGAGGACAGGGGGAAATGGAGAGGAGGACAGGGGGAAAGGGAGAGGAGGACAGGGGGAAAGGGAGAGGAGGACAGGGGGAAAGGGAGAGGAGGACAGGGGGAAAGGGAGAGGAGGACAGGGGGAAATGGAGAGGAGGACAGGGGGAAAGGGAGAGGAGGACAGGGGGAAAGGGAGAGGAGGACAGGGGGAAAGGGAGAGGAGGACAGGGGGAAAGGGAGAGGAGGACAGGGGGAAAGGGAGAGGAAAACAGGGAGGGCACTGCCCAAGAGAAGTTGATGCTGAGGACCGGGCAAGGGATCGGAAAGGGGGAGGCATTGGAGAGGGGGAAATTGGATTATTCCGGGAGGTGACAGGGTGGGACGCGAGATGCTTCGCCACCGTCGCACAGATGCTTCGCCCCGCTGCTCGCTATCGTCGCCCTGGTGCTTGCTATCGTTGCCCTGGTGCTCGCTATCGTCGCCCTGGTTGTCGCTATCGTCGCCTTGATGCTCGCTATCGTCGCCCTGGTGCTCGCTATCGTCGCCCTGGTGCTCACTATCGTCGTCCTGCTGCTCGCTATCGTCACCCCGCTGCTCATATCGTCGCCCCGCTGCTCGCTATCGTCGCCGCACCGCTCGCTATCGTCGCCCCGCTGCTCATATGCGACCACCGATATCTAGCTATCGTCGCCCCGCTGCTCGCCACCGTCGCACCCATTCCTGCCTGTCGCTACCGTTGCGCCTTTGCTACCGCAGATACGTGAGGAATGGAGGGGCGGGAGAGGAATAAGGACGGCAACGGAGGAAAACGAGCGCAATGCGATTCGAATACGACAAAAAAGGTGTTTACGAGGTAGGAAATTGCGCAGATATTCGTGAGCACATCAATAGACCATCTTAGCGGAAATGGCTCTGCGTAGCACGGAAAACGCACTTCAAGTTAGTAAGAACCTAGTTCAAGCGTGAGAGTTTGCCGAGTTTGAGTTGTTTTGAGTTCAAGTTTGAATTTTCAAGTTTGCTGCATGCGATCCCCCTCAATTCGTTGAGCGGAGCTTTTCCCCGAGCCCTCCCCCGTTTCCCCCCCACACACATCATACTGCGAAGGACTTTTCCGCACGCCCTTCCCCCGCTGGCAGAAACCTCTCCCTGCTCGCTTTCCTGTGTATACTGGGTTACGCGGCTTTCAAACTATAATAGTTTGAACTGGAGCCCGGATATCTGCACCGCGGCTTTAATGGGGAAAAATGCCAAACTCCGAGAATATTGACAGAATGTAGAAACAAAAAATGCCCACAGTTTGTGGCTGCCTCACTGGGCTTCGCCCAACCACAGCGTCGCATTTGGTTCAACACATGCAACAGAGATTTGAACAGCCTGTCGCTGGATCCCGCCACAAAGTGTCACGAAATGCATCGAGCTGTTCTTGTCGTTTTATGGATATGAACAACACGGTTGTTAGGGGCCAGACCGGAGCTGGAGGAGGGCCACGCGGTTCTGCCTCAACTGTACCACACAAGGGATGTCGGTGGTGGGTCCGATAATCGGTTGTGTCCTTACACAAGGGTAACATTAACGCAAATATAAAATGAAACCATCAAGGCAAATATACACAACACATTACATCAATTTTATAAATCACATGGACAAGTTCCTAACTAAGCACCCACAGCACAAAAACACACCCCGATCATGATTTGCTTAGGTGCTTCCTATACGCATTTCCGTAGTTTTCCTACCTTGGAAGAAGACTGAACACTGGCACTTCCATCATTTTCGCTGCCTGCCTCAGCTTTTCTGAGTCAGAGAGTGAACCACTAGAGGTTGCCAAACCTGGGACAAGCACCAACGCAGAGTCTGAGGTTTGGCCCAAGCCTCCAAGGCCCAAATTTGCAGCTGCCAGAATCCTGTCAGCCTGGGAAGTGGCTCGGAAGCCAGCAGAGCTGGGGAGTGCACGGGGGTTTGAAGGAGTGAAGCGAGGTGCCGGCATAGAGGGTGTGAAATGACCATCAGCAGACGATGCACCTGGGGCCACAAACGCCTCAGTTGCTGCATCAGCGGCAGCAGCAGCAGCAGCAGCTGCAGCAGCAGCAGCGTCTACTCCAGCCCTCAAGCTAGCAACATACTCTGTGAGGTCAGAGGTTTGGGAAACCCCACAGGTCCGGGACCTCCGAGCCAGGACTTGAGGTGCGGAACTGCAGGCCTCTGCAAAGCCGAGGGGGCTGGAGAGGGAGGTGGAGAGGAGGGGAGCAGAGGCGGAAGAAGGAAAAAGGGGTCGTGAGCTCCAGGTGTTGAGACATGGGGAATCTAGTCCGGATAGAGGAGGAGACGCGAGGTAGTTGAACGAAGACTGCTGCTGCTGCTGGTCCTGCTGGTCCTGCTGCTGCCGCTGCTCAAGCAACTCCCGCAAAAGCATCTCCTGCTGCCTCTCCTGCTGCTTCTGCTGCTGCCGACTCTGCTCCTGCTGCTGCTCCCGCTGCTCCCGCTGCTGCTGCTGCAGCTCTTCCTGTTCTCGCTGGTACTGAACGCGCATGTGGTGGGACCACTTCTCTCTCTGCGACCATCTTCCCCGCTTCACCTGCCAAGCAGGCCGGTCAGACAGCCCACGGGCCTTACCCCCTGCGCCAGCACCACCACGAGAAGCAGCAGCAGCAGCAGCAGCACCACCACCACCACCACCTGCGCCAGCACCACCACGAGAAGCAGAAGCAGCACCACTACCACCCCCTGCACCAGCACCACCACGAGAAGCAGCAGCAGCAGCAGCAGCACCACCACCACCACGAGAAGCAGCAGCAGCAGCAGCACCACCACCACGAGAAGCAGCAGCAGCACCACTACCACCACCACCTGCGCCACCAGCAGCAGCAGCAGCACCAACGCCATCCCCACCAGCACCACCACCAGCAGAAGCACCAATCAAAGGCCTCCCAGAGCCAGCCGCACCACCCACACCACAGAAAATGCTGCCAGTGCCGCTGCTGCTACACACAGTGCTGCCGCCGCTGCTCCCTCTGCCCTGCCCGAGCCACCCGCCGAACCTCTTCTCCCCAGCTATCCGCTCCAAAGCGAACTCGTTGGCTCGGATGCTTGCCTCGATCATGCTTTGCATGTCACGCCCACTTCCCTCCCCTGCTCCTCCTTCTGCTCCTGCTGCTCCTCCTGCTCCTCCTGCTCCTCCGGATGCTCCTTCCACCCCCGCTGCAGAGGAAACAGCAGCGGGAACAGGAATAGCAGCAGCAGAGAGGTTACTGCTAGCAGCAGTGAAGCCAGAACGGTTCTCAGTGGTGCTGGTGTTGCAGGTGGCACCTTCAAACGAATCCAGGTGCATCTGGGAAAGGTCGCTTCTCCTCTTCCTGCTGCTGCTGACAGTGGTGCTGCGGCTGAAGCTGCTTCCACAGCCGAGAGTGTTGCTGCCAGTCCTGGGGGCGTTTGCAATGGTGCCTGTAGCAACAGCAGCAGCAACAGCAGCCGCAAGGTCTCCGCTGCTTGTCTGCTGAAGCTGCTGCTGTGCCTGCTGCTGCTGCTGCTGCTGCTGTTGCTGCTGTTGCAGTAACAGCAATTGCTGTTCCAGCCCTTGTTCCCACGACGGGAGCAGCATCTCCCCTCCCGAAATCCCCACCCCTTCCAGCTCCTGCTGAACCTGTTTGCTCGATGCCAAGCCTGCCAAGGAGGTCCGGAGACTCCGACCCACCATAGCCTCGGCAGAGACATCACCTTCAGCGAAGACAGGCTCGGCAAAGGCAGGTTCGTTGAAGGCGAGGCAGGTAGAGCAGGCACGTCCTATCACCCCCATCACCACCTGTACGTCTCCTCCTTGTAACCCACACACCATGCACCCTTCTGAAGGTGCTTGCACAAGGCCAGATTCTGATCTCAGCAACCCTGATTGAAACCTTTCTGAACTCAGCACAGCTGCTGCTGCTGCTCCTACTGATGGTTGCACTGCGAAGCACGCAAGATCGCACCGGGCAGGGTTCAAATTTGAGGGCTGGAGGGCGGGAAGAGCGCCGAGAATCGCTGTGGACGAGGGGGAGAGCGAGGAGGCGGAGACAAAGGAGGAGGAGAAGGGAGAGAAGGTGGTTGATAGGCTCGCAGGAATGATGAACGCACGCCCGCCGCTACTGCTGCCGCCGGCATCAGAGTGAGCGCGGCCGAAACTCTGGCTGTGCAGGGTTGCACGCGGCTGATACTCTGTCGTTGTTCCCGCGGCAGCTGCAGTGGCGGCGGCGGGGGCGTACGCGCGCGCGGCGCTTTCCGCCGCCGCGTGGCGCGCGCTGGCGGCGACGTAACTCCGGGACGCGGGGAAGGGGTTGCCCCGCGCGGGAGCGGGCTGCGCGGGGAAGGAGCTGGGCTGCAGCAGCGGAATGGCGAGGGGCGCGCCTGGGGCGGACGCGGAAGCGGTGAGCGTGACCATGGCCTCTTGATTCGGGTCCACCGCGGAGAGCAGCCGCAGCGGCCGCGCGGCGACCGCCGTTTCCGCGGGCTGCGCCGTTTCCGCCGCCTCCACGGCCTCCGCCACATGATCTCCGCGCGCATTGTCACCGACGGCGGCGGCGGCGCAGTCAGCCGCAAAAGCGGCGCAATGCTCGTCTGCCCATGCGGGGGAAGGGGAGCCTCTGAAACCTTCCACGGAAACCCGAGGCAACGGCTGAAATGACTTCAAGTTGGACGACTTGAAATTGCTGGGGGTGAAATTCTCCCCTTCCGATTGCGAGTTGAAATTTGAATAAGAATTCTCATTCCGCTCCGACTTTAGGGTTTGGCCAATTTGTTCCACTCTTTGGCCGTCCCATTGCGCGGAGAGCCCGTTTCCATTCGCCGTCGCCTCGTCCTCCCGCCCGTGTCCCGCTTCCTGCGGCTGCGCCTGCTGTTCCTTCTGCTGGGGCTGGTGTTGCTGTTGCTGTAGCAGGGATGCCTGTAGCGCAGATATTGACGCCTCAAGCTCCGCTAATGATGCTTCCGCCAACGTGGCCTTCCCCCACGGCGCGATTTCCGCCAGCCTCATCCCTCCCCTCGCCGCCGCTCCGCGGCTCGTAGTCATACCGCCGCCTCCGCATCCTTCCTGCGCTCCCGCCGTTTCGCGCGCCGGTCGCGCGCGGATCACCGCTTCCAGTAGGCCCTCGTACATTCCGCTTTCCGCTCCCTCCGCGCCCACAGCGCCCTCCGCGCCCTCCGCGACGAACTCTCCGCGCACCTCCGCCTCTTCCGCGGCTGCTGCAGTCGCGATTTCTTCTCCGCGAGCAATTGTCGATTGTAACAGCCGCGGCGCTTCCGTCGCAAGGTCCCTCGCCCCGAACCGCGCCGTGATCCGCGCAAGCGTCTCCGCCGGAGTTCCGCCGTTCCGCCCGCCGTCTCCCGCACCAGGCGCGCGAAGCATCTCTTCCAGCACCGCCTCCTCTGGCGGAACCTGCCGCTCCGCGAATTCGCCGGCAACAAAAGCCGCGCGCGGAGAGTCGTCCGCGCGCTCGTCTTTCCGCCATCCGCCTCCACCGAGCAGAGGAGATCCTGCGGGAGCGCTCTCAGCGCTACTATGCGCGCTCGGGCTTCGACTCCGGCGGTCGCCGCCGCGGTAAGATGCGCCCATCGGCGCGACCACGTGACGCGGCATTGCGGCGGACGGGGGCGCGTTTTCCGCAAGTTGAGTGAACAAAGATTCTTGCGAAGTATTGACGGATGGAAAATCCATGGTGGACAGCACTGGCAGTTGGTGTAGATTGTGGTGCTCCGCCGATCGCGCTACTATGATTGTACGCGTCGATTAGCGCCGCTAGGAACTGCAGTTTAGCGCGATCTCGGAGCCAACTCCTGAAATTCTGGTCACGTCTGCGGCTTGCGTCGATAATCTGCTTCTAATCTTCCAACTCCTGAGATTTCGATCGCTGCTCGCGCCGCTGCTCTCCGCGTTTGCTGGACGAACTCCCGTAACTTCACGCCCGCTGCTGCTGCTGCTGCTGATTCTGCTGTCGTTGCTGCTTGGGAAAAATGGGTTCCGTGAGGGATTGTGATAGTAGGCGAGAAAACCTCGGCGATTGTCGCTTGTGTTGTTGCGAACCCACTCGCTGACGCGCGATCGGCTGGGTTAAATAGGAGGCAATATCGGCGTTTAAGTTCGAAGAATAGTGGAGTTTCTCAGACGCAAGCGCAATAACCGCCGGAAATCGAGAGAAAAGGACGAAAAAATCGTCTCAGAGACAGGCTTGCGCCAGCTCCTTTATCGTCGCGATCTGCGACGTCGGACGTCCCGAAACGCTACCGGTCGAGTCGAGTGTCCTCTACTATCGTCGCGAGTCTTGTACGCGAAGATTAGCGGAGTGGTGAATGCGGCGGGTGACAGCTCACGAGCTCCACGCGTGCAGCTGTACAACTTTCTTGGACCTCGGAACAGGCTGGAACACTGGCGGATCTCGTAACAACTTGTTGAACAATGGCGAACAATGTGAGTGGAGGGGGGTCGAGATTCGAGAGTGCAAAATGCAGCCAAGCAGTTGTGCTCTCGAATTTCTGTTTGGCGAACTTGGATATCCTTGAAGAGGTTCGGCAGCGCGAATAATGCGACAGCAAGGCGTTGAATTTCTTAGAGAGAAACGCTCAACGAGAGTAAGAAGTGGGGGATGAGCTGCTACGCAGCTATTGCTGCCGTGAACTCGTCGTGTTTCGAATCTGGCAGTCGGGTTGGTAGGGAGAACAGCTACTATGAGAGACAATGTTGCGAGCCTCGAGACTCCACACAGAAGCGATAGAGTTTTACTGCATTCCGGTGAGGACTGGCATTTGAATGAAAGGACGAGTTTGTGTTGCTGTCTGCGTGGAGGTCAGCCTGGAGTTGCAAGGAGAGGCGGTGGAATGTGAGTTAGTGCGATTCGAAATTGCAGAAGATCAGATGCGAACCAGCTTGCGCTACGGAGCGCCAGTGAGGAAATCAGCTGGATGGGCGAAGCGCATACGCAAGGCGAGATCACCAAGCGTGCACGAATTACACGGCGAAAAGTGGCGAAACGAGACGAGAAGCAGGGGAAGGGTGGGGGAAGAAGGGGGGAGAGGTTGGGGTCCGGGGCGGATGGAGGGGAGTGGAGGGGCGATGGAGTCAGGGGGAAGCGGGGGATAAGGCATTGGCGAGTGTGGGCTGGAAGAAGCCCACAATCGTTGACTGTAGTGCACACGTTCACTGTTACACTTCACGATTGAAGAAGCAAGGGTTTTTATACGGGCCGTCACAAAACATTTCGGAGTTATCACGAGAAGGCACATGTTCCGCCAAATCTATCATGAACGGTCACATGTTCCGCCAAATCTATCACGAACCATCACACGGGTATCACCCGCCGTCACTCAAAGGCACTAAATTCTATCACGGGTAGTCACAATCGAAACTTTGCAATCACAGATGAACCCTCTCATCATTTCGTTGACCCGCCCTGAAACACTGTACAGATTTAGGGACTATATTTCGGGTTGCTGGTTTTTGTCCTGTATACGCGACCATTTTGGGTGCAAAGCGGCCAAAATCATTGATACTCAGATTACGCCAGAAGCAATTTGCAAAAGTACTCAACCGACAATTTTGCAGTATAGTAACTAAACATACTGTTTCCTCTAGTTATAAGCACGATTCTGAAAAAAAATCGCCACCAGCAGGTCCGCACATACCCAACAAAAAAGGAAACATTCCAGAACGCTTGGATAACCAGAACAGTGTTTGGAAATACTAGCCCCAACTACGGGAATTCGTCAAGAAGTTAGGATTATCTGCTTGGACAAACGACACCGCCCAACGGAGCTTGCTACCCGAGGGCAATTAAAAATAATCCTCCTACTGAAAGGCATCCAGTCAGGATGGCATCAACCCTAAACACCTTGTCGCATAATGTTTAGGGGTTGATGCCATGCAAGATGGCTTTTATTTTTCTTCCAGTTTCTAAATGATATACTATTTTCTTTACCATCTTGAGATCAAGTAATGACATGCGATTAACTATTCAGGAAGATTCAATCAATTGTGAACTCTAGAAATATTTATATACGTTCAGAGATTATTATATGTATATAGTATGTAATTGAAGGCTAGTGTTACTGTATCACGGTGAGATTATTCTAATTATGTATATTCTATCTGCTGTAGAAAGAAATATAAATTATGCGTTCCAAGTTATGGATTGTTTAGCATCTTGATAAACATTCAGGCAGCTTCAATGAATTGTGAACTCTAGCAATATATATATATGCGCTCAAATTCATTCATACATCTTTTAAAACTAAAGTGTGTTACGTCGATTCGAACGTAACCAGGTATCTTTGCACCCAAAATGGTCGCGTATACAGGACAAAAACCGGCAACCCGAAATATAGTCCCTAAATCTTTACAGTGTTTCAGGGCGGGTCAACGAAATGATGAGAGAGTTCATCTGTGATAGCAAAGTTTCGAGTGTGACTACCCGTGATAGAATTTAGTGCCTTTGAGTGACGGCGGGTGATACCCGTGTGATGGTTCGTGATAGATTTGGCGGAACATGTGACCGTTCGTGATAGATTTGGCGGAACATGTGACTGCTTGTGATAACTCAGAAATGTTTTGTGACGGCCCGTATAAAAACCCCACAATGTAGGCATCTAATCATGTTTTGTAGCTCACAATGAGCTGCCCAAAACAAACGCCCCCATTATACTGTACACAATCGTCGTTTTTTCAACCACTTTGTCCTCTCTGAGTGTTAGGCTGGACGTGTGACGTGGCCCTCCGTGTGAATGCGAAGCACAACGACGTTTCAGCGAGGTGATCGGGCAGAGTGCAATCTAGCGAATCCTCCAACGCGCTCAAGATTGGAGTCCATTTTGCCCGGTGGCAACTATGGGTCTCACAACTTGGTGCGGGTGGCAACTGTGGGTCTCGCAAAAGAGGACATACAATCGATGCTCATTAGCTGAACGCCAGGTAGCCTGGCGACAATGGACTGAAACGTGTTTTGGAGGTTCGCCGACTTCGCCCATGTCGCCGGAAAATATGGTACTATAAAGCGAACGTGCGATTTCGTTTGTAACTCGGCCAACATTGTGGATGACGTATGTGATAACGTAAGCGACGGGCAACCCTTGTTGTTTATGAACTGTATATGGCGGCTTCCACAACTTGGTGACTATACTTCCAACTTAGCACAATGCTCAATTTAATCACTCACTGGCAAAAACGTTCGCGATTGACCAAGTTTCTGATTGTCCTATGCATTTTTTCGCGATAAGGGTGAGCAACAATTGTACAGAGCACTACAAACGATGCTCAACCTTAAACAACAAATTTATACACAACATTTCAAAGGTCATCATTTTCTATTTGGGCAGGGGCAACGGCCCAGATTGAATATCTTACGGCTGGGTCACATTCGGAAATATGACAAATAAGCGGTTGAGACCCGCCCAGGGCTCTTGTTATCAGAAATCGGTCTGATGGTCTGATTTTCAGACCTCCATTTTTTCTTTCATCTGATTTTTAAGACAGTCAATTTATTTCGTCTGATGACTAAGACAACAAATTTTAGTTCGTCTTAATTTTCACACCAAGTGTTATACTTCGTCTGCGATTTCAAACTGCGCGTATATTTTCTTCTGACACCGGCGCCCTCTTTCCTCCTCCTCCCCCACCCCTCCCCCTCCAATCACTCGCTCCTCTACTGCGTAGAGTCACTACACAACGGGAGTGGACTACGGAGGAAGGCACGGGGTTGTGCGGGTGATCGTAGCGTTGCACTAGGCGTTCTCACTACTTGCTGTGTTCATAAGGAAATTTTGCAAGAGTTTCACTAGGAAATTGAGAGAACATTAGATTACAAATGAGACATGCAAGTCGATATAGGTAGAATAGCATTGCAACACCTAGCAAGCCCTCTGCAGGGCGAACTATGCCAGCGCAGCAGAAGAGCGGCTTGCCAACGCTGCAGCAGAGTAGTCTGTCAGCGTTGCACCGCAGCGGTCTGCCAGCGCGGCAGAGGCAGGTGGACTTCTGCGCATGTGCGCACCTACCAAGTAGGTGCAGATAGACGGTCGCGCCGCCAGGCACATTGCGAAGGTGCCAGGTAGAACACGTGTCGACGGTTTCTCCAGCAAAGCACCATCGAGCACGTGATGCCGTTCCGCATGTCGACTTCGCGAAAACCTCCCGGGCGACATTCGCCAACGCGTCGGATTTCGCAGTCGAGCGACTTGCGTCGACCAGCTCGACGATGCTCCGTCGAACATCATTCGCCTAGACGAGCACGTCGAGCAGAGCCCGTATACCAGCACCACTCTACGGGCTCGTCGACGAGCGTCCTCTGCGAGCTCGTCGACCGCGTCCTCTGCGAGCTCGTCGACCGCGTCCTCTGCAAGCTCGTCGACCCCGTCCACTGAGGACGCGTCGACCAGCGTCCTCTGCGGACGACTTCTTCGGACTGGTCGAGATCGAACTTTACGGACAGGTCGAGGTCGAAATCTGCGGACAGGTCGACGTCGAACTCTGCGGGCTGTCGACGTCGACTTCTGCGCGCAGTCTGCGTCGACTTCTGCGCGCCCCCGAGTGCGAAGTCTGCTTCGCCCAAGCGAGGGCAGGGCCATTTCCCGTCAACATCTACCAACCCAGCC